CTTAATGAAAATTTTAGTTCAAAATAAAATTGAAGATAGTCTTTTTAAGAAGGAACCACCATTTATTCACTTCTAGAATACAAACTTTTAACAACATTGAAAGGAACATTGAAAGTGAATAAATGGTGGTTTCTTCTTAAATAGATGTTATCTTTAATTTTATTTTTAAACATAATTCCCATCTGACAGAATTCTACAATTGGAAATTATACTTGTTATTGGCATTTATAATTTAAAAAAAAAAAACACCCTCCCCTAGAAGTAAGGCTTTAGCCTTGAAAATGGTAGAATATCTATACTGGAGTACTGTAACAAATGCACATATCTATAAGCCTTTTACCAGTGTGCATTTTATCGCACTATACAATAAAGTTACAAACAATTCAAAGTGTATTTCTTAACAACTTTGAATCAAAGCGCATTCCATTAGGGGATCGTTACCTGAAGAAGAACTGTAACGGTTCGAAAATGTTTGTAACTTTATTGTATAGTGTGATGAAATGCACACCGGTAAAAGGCTTATAGATATGAGCTTTAGCCTTATTATAATAATTAATATTATGCAAATTATTTTTAAATAAAATCTTAATAGATGGTACCACGTTTAAAAACTTAAAAGAATATTCAACTTTTTAAACTTAAATATTCTTTTTGAAAAATAAAGTAATTTCTAATAATTCAATGAAATTACTTTTACTAATATACTATATCCACATTTCCTGGCAGTTAAAATTCTGAAAAAAATTAAATTAAAAATAATATAAAATATATATAAAATAATTTATTCAATTTTTTCAGAACTTACTTCTTTTAGGCTTTTATTATTAAAATTTTATGTTATAATATGTGCAATTACTTATTGTGGCAAAAACAATTTTTACTTCACACTGGATTGTTATATGGGAGAGAAATCACACCTAACTGACATTAAAAACATGTATGTATTAAAAAATTGTCAGTACTTTCCAAGACATACAGCCTTCATCATCAGGCAAAAATTGAGCACAAATTTTAAATCTAAGAATAGAACATAAATGCAATATTTCTTTTTTAAATTAAATAAAGGCACAAGGTTGGAATATCAAATATTCAATAAAAATTAGAACAGTCTAATAAAAATACTTTGTATTTGGGGACTTATATCTTCGTTGATAATTTTGCATGCATCTTATTTTTATTAGACTGTTCTAATTTTTATTGAATATTTTGATATTCCAGCCTTGTGTCTTTATTTAATTTAAAAAATTGATCTTACTAAAATTAAGATGCATCTGAAAAATTGAAATTTGCTTTTTTATCTCTGGTATTTGGTAATGTATTAAAGTAATATATTAATGAAAATGATTTTGGTGATTTAAATATTTATAAATTATGTATTAGAATTAAAGTGAAGAACAAGTAATTTATAAACTTTTTTTACAATTTTAAATATTTAGGAGTTAAATTTGGATCTTGTTCAGTTTCCTCGTCCTGTTTATATTCATGAAATTAGAATCATACCTTTAGGAGCAAGAGTTCAAGCTGATTTTCCTGGAGGACATAGACTTGGGTAAGAATTGAATAGAAATTATGACTATGTTAATAATTTTACTACTAATTTTAAATTTTCATTTCCTAGGATATAATCTTTTAATATATAAGTTGAGCATACATACACTAAGAACTGTTGTTTAAAATTTAAAATTCAATAATATGCTTTGGTTTGAAAATCTGATATTTTTTAATATAAATATTTATTGATCATGTAACAAATAATTTATGTTTTCATTATGATTAAAGCATAATCAATATATTTTTTATATACTATAAAATTTGATTATGCTTAATTATAATTTAATGTAATGAATATTTATATTTATATAACTACTATAAAAGGAAGTAAAATATAAATTTATTACTACTATTCCATATTCTATAAAATTTTTGATTCTATAAAATTTGACCAATGGCATCACTTATATGAGATATATTTAACAAAAATAATAACTCATTTCAGTATTATTTAAGGGTTGATGTACTGATTATATTTAAATTAATTCATTGTCAGTTTGGTAAGCATTTCATATGTCTCTAGTGCAGTATAGTATATCTGTAAGACCATGCATTAATATATTGGTTAAAAGAAACATTAATAAACTATTTACCAGATCAGGCTTAAAGTTAACATCATAAAGGCAAATAATAGAATATTAATATGAAATATAAATGAATATTCATCAGTTCTGAAGGCTCCAGGATTGTTCCACAAAACCAAAATGTCTCAGAACTGTTCATATTTAGAATCATACAAACAAATGAGCATCTTATAATCAGTATATTGCTTTTCTTAGTCAGTTTTTTTCTTTTCTCATATTTTAATCAATATTTTTATTCAGATGGTGTTTTTATTTTTTTATCAGCCAAAAATTACTTTTAATTGATTATTAAATTTTTAAATTTATAATGTACAGACTACAAAAATATTATGTAATATAAATATTCTAAATTAATTAATATTAAAAAACAACTTTTAAATATCTTCATATTATTTATCAAAGTTCAATCACCCATGACTGACAAACATTTGAGTAAAACTATTAGTTACAAAAAGTAGGACAAAAGAAGAGATATTAAACAAAATATCAAAAATTTCAATTTTTTTTTTTTTTTAATGGAAATGCTTCTATTTCTGCTTTAAATCTGTCAGAAGAATCTGCCAGTTTCAAAAGTACTAAATATTTTGGAACAGTTGCAGACCCAAATTCAAGAATTATTAATCTTGGGGAAAGCTGAGTTGAACAGATAAAAAAAAATTTTTAATGCGAATTCAATAAAATTACCACCTATGTGACTGCTAATTCACAAGTAATATAGAAATAGAAGACAACATAATATTCAAATAAATTTTATTTAGGAAAATATTTTTGGAAAATTTACTAGTGTTTCTTTTACTTTCGGGGATGCCAGGGCCCCTTAGCTCATCCCCTGAGTACACCACTGTTTTGGAACCATTAAATGAAATAGAAGAAACAATGAAAAGTGAAAAGTCATGAATAAAATAAATTTTAGAAGAAATGGAATCTGCAGAATTTTGTTTAAATTTCTATACTATCATGAATGAGGAGGGGCTAGGCCTTAAGCATTGGAGAGCCCTTTACTAAATTTTTCTTAAGATACTAAAATATCTAGTTAAACCACTGATGAAGATATTCAACTCTTTTTGTAATATGTTGATGATGATAAAATATGTGTTTTGCATATTAACATAGTTATGACCATATGCTTGTATTGCTGTGGCTAGTAGGAGTTGCTAGAGATGACAGCATTAAACTGGTGGTATATTCCAAACCTTAAACTATGGCTACTGTGAAAAATTTGAAGTTTAAAAAGGAATTTATTTGTTGACTAGTTTTATACTCTACAGTGAATTTAATGGTAGGATATATTTTATTTAGAATATGAGCAAAGTCATTAAACTCATCTAACAATCTTTCCCATGATATGAGTATGTCATGTACATATCACAAATATAATACGAGATAATTTATTGTGATGGGAAGTTCAAAAATCTTGCATTCTAAATTTTTCACTAATATTTCTTCTAAGACTGATGATGATAGGGATCCCATTGGGAAGCCTTGTTTTTGTAAATAGATCATATTATTGAATGTGGAATAATTGTTATTAACAAGAAGCTAAATTGCGTCCTAACCCATAAAACAATTTAATAGAAAACCTTTGTTTATCATCATCATTTTTGTAAGCATACTAACCTCAAATAATTGCCCTCTAAGACTGTTAGTCAAAGAATGCATTCCAGCTACTTGTACAATTTAGAAAGAACTTTGAGTTCCTATGGAAGGTATTATACAATTATCTGTTTGTCTGTACTTTGTCCAAAAATGCAAAAAAAAAAATTGTATCTAATTTGTATAGGTATTCTTTATCTGATTTCCACTTTTGTAAAATTTGTTATTTTTTTATTTCCTTCTGTTTTCATATTTGAGTTCTTTATGCTCACCCTCCCCAAAAAAGAGAGCTATTTCTGATGATATTTCGTAATTTTCAAAAATATTTGAATTTATTAACTTTATTGAAATATATATTAAATTATTACCAGAAACTGAGTTAAATTTTCTTATTTTATATACATAGTGGTGTACACATAAGTCAATAAGATCAATGATTCTTCAAATTGATGATTTGCAAATGATTAATTGGTACATCTCTAGCAATGGTGTTAACATTTCTGATAATGGATTGAATGATTTAAAAATGCTTAAATGTTCTTTGTGTGCATACTTTTATGCTTTGTAATGTTCTGCTTTCATTAAATCATTATTTTTGATTTTTGCATTTATAAAATTATTTATATATATTGGGAAAGTATAAAAATTTTACTTAATTTATTTTAACAGGGCTACAAATCCTTCAACTTTTCAACTTGAATTTTTTGTTAATGATTTAAGTACAATTGGTGCTTGTACTTTCAAAAAATTAGGAAAGTAAGTATAATAAATAATATGTTAAATTGATGTATTACTTTCTCTTCAATTAAATTTATATCATAATATTATTTTAATTTTCAGCCTTGAATATAAACAGAATGTGGATATTCAATTTCTTGTTATGGATAAGGTAAATATTGTTTTTATATGAAAAGTAAATATTTTGTAAAACTATAATCTTAAAAGAATTAGTAGATTCAAATAGTATAATACAATTATATATTAATGCTTAGAATTTAAAAGAATAATCAGCATTATTTTATTTATTTCCTTTTATATATTCTAGCTGACTATTAGTGTTATCTAGTAATAAATATTTTTATTTGATTCTTATGTAAAATTTCAATAATTATTGGTGAACACATAAGTAAGGATAAATAATAATCAATGTCAATTATATTTTTGTTTCATTGAGGAAGTTGTTTTAATTTTACTGAATTTTACCATGTAGATTTTTTTATAATCTATGTGTTTGTGATATTTATTAAATTTCCTCAATAATCTTATTTAGTAATTTTTACTTTATTATTATATTTTTGTTCAGCAAAACATATTTTATACTGCATATATTTATTAGAAAATTCAGAAACTTCTACATAAATACACCAATGAACTGCATGTTCATTGGTGTATTTATGAATGTGGATTTAGGAGAGTCCTTAAATCCACATTCTTTTTATGCATAACAGTCTAATTTTTAAATAGTGAACATCAAAGGTAAAATTAAATAATATCAGTCACTTAATTTGTCTATTTAACTTTTATTTATATTTATTGTTTTAAAATTACATTGATGCACATAAAAATAATATGGACATGTAGAAAAAATAATAATGTAATTTAGGGATTTAGGATGTGCTCAAAACTTAAGTATTTTCATATTAGTACAGTGGAATCTCATTACAGCAAACTTCATAATAATGAACTTGTAGATTTTCCCTGCTCCAACTTTTATAAGAACCCATGACAAAACCTTTCAGTTGTATGAACATATTTATAATTTATAACAAATGTTTGTGTAACATTTCTTTTCTGTCACTTTCATGGTAATAGAATTACTGTAATTTTTGCTTCACTATAACAATTTCATTACACCACTTATTTCCTTTTTTTTCACTATTGCCTTTCACTGGTAAACAGTCTACTGAAGACAGTTAGAGAGCTTGGACTCAACCAATATTGCAAGTGTACTAACTTCAACAAGAGAAACAAGATAGTGGTTGAGTGGATAAAACTACTGAACCTCACCAACAGGCTGACCATGTGGAGTTTTCTATTTTTACTTTTCCAGCTGCTATATATAACAGAGGGAAAGTACGGTGATTAGTCAAAAAATGACCCCCTCCAAGATTTTTATATTTTTGAACCTAGGACACCTTGAACCATTGAGAAATGAAAAAAATTTGGGGGTAATTTCTGTATATATGGATATTAATGTGTTTGGGGGCACGATTTTGTTCATCCTCTTTGAAGCTTGATAATTCCTGTGCTTTTTGTCAAAAATTTCTGAAATTTTGCATGGAAGTTTGTTTATTGGGGGACTTATGCTAATAAATTTTGATGGTTAAAGGTCAAGAGGATGGAGAGATAATGGAGATTGTGTGTATCTCCAGTAGAGTCAGATGATTTTACCTATTATTAGCATTTATAATTTTTTTATCAAACTCATTCCTACCCTAAAAATTAAACTTTTTGCCATTTTATAATAGTTTAAAATATAAAATGTTTTTAATAAAATATGATAACAGATTGTGCCACCAAATTTTTAAATGTTGCCAGGAAACTTGAGCAATCGCATTGCTGGTTTTTTTTGTTCATGTATCTAACATCTAAATAGGGACCAATTTTCCTTAGAAAGTCCTTCTGGAAAGGTTCCATCCTTGGCAGATCACTCAAATGGTGCATACTGTTATCTATCAAACTAAACCAAATCACAAGCCATTTATGCCTTTTTTAAGTTTTTTATTTATCCTATTACTCACTTAAAGAATGAGGATAAGCTGGAATTGAAGGACATCAGAATGAGGGAAATGTCTGAAGGCTTTTTCTGGCCCATCCCTCTTTGATGCAGGAAACTAAAGCTTGGGAGGAATATGATTTGGTGGTATGAATTAAATTGAACTAAACTATGATTTGGTGGTATGAATTAAATTGAACTAAACTATGATTGAACTCAGTTATATCGAATATGGATATAACGAGCAAAATGCCATAACAATTTTAATTTTTGCATATTTCTCTACATTTTCTCATGATTAAAATGAAGAGCAAAGTTTTGGTAGCTATGCAAACATATGAGCATTCTTATTGTTCAAATAGTAAGAAATGCGATACCAAATTCTTGGAATAGATAAAACTGAAAGAGTTACTTATGATCTGCATCAATTACAAGCCTATTTATCACTTAACTTTCTTTTTGGAGATCATCTCCCTCTTTCTTGACTAGCTACTGGCCATACTTTGCTAATTTACCTAATCATCACTATAGTTGTGAAATTACCATATACTCTAGTTACAAATGAACCCTTCTATGAGAAAGATGTATATGACGAAAAGAAAATTTCTCTCAGTTTACAAAAAAATAGAAATTATTTGCCAGTTAGAATATGGTACTAAAAATGTCAAAGTGTGTAGAAAGTTCACAGTTCTTTGTCATCTTCAACAGTATCTAATTATGAAAAAATAAAACAAACATCAATTTTAAGATTTGTACATAAAAGACTGACTGAAACTGCTCATGGTAATTAGTATTATCTTTAATTACAAAAAAATAAATTGTTAAATTTGATCATATTAAATATCAAAAGATAATTAGTTTTTATTTTGATAAATTTTGAACTATTAACAAACTTTTATTTTTTCTTTTTCTTTTAGATAACTTTATTTAGAATTCATTATGCTTACATAATTTTGCAGTTATATAAAAAATTTTTGCATTTTCTATTTAAGTAACGATATGTTTATAAATGATCTTATAAGTGTTTATCTCACTAATGCTAACAAATTAAAAAGCTTTTTTATATTTTACAAATTCTGCTGGGTAATTTTGAAACTACCAAATCGATAATTGAATAGGTTAATAAGATAGAAAATAGAGAAACAAAATTCAAAAAGTTACAGGTCTGGTTTGGATTCAAATTTATCTTTATGGAAATAGCAGAATTTCTGACCATAAAAACATTNGCGACGAAAAATAAAAAAATTTTACTTTAATTTTAAGTTATTTTTATATTAATTTGTATAATAATATATGTTAAATAACACATAAACATATATTATTATACATTTCTGTGTGTATATTAATAAGTTCACTTTTTATATTAATAGTTCATTTTTTGTGACAAAGACCCTGACTTTTCTGAAATTTTTGTTTTTTGCAATAAAGTCCTGAAGTTTCATTTGTCACTTTTATCTTTCCTTAAGTAAATGTTGGTAGCAGAAGATCACAACCAAAATGCCTTGTTTTGCTTTTGTGTTCCTTTCAAAATCTGGATCATTCACTACAATTTGATCAACGATTTCGGTTATTGTTACCAAACTTTTACTAAGGAAATCTGTAGAGAAATTTTTTAGATTCTTCATTTTCAGAATCACTATTTTCCAGTTCTATGTGGATTACTTGTTTTGCCAGTTCTTGAAGGTCATCATTGATAAGACTCTCACCAGAAACCTGTGGTAACTCCTCAATATCCTGTTTGTCTATATCTCTTAGTCCTGCTGTATCGATTAGGTTGAGTTTGATCAACCTAAAGATACAGCGATAGGCTCTTCTCTTTGAGAATCGCTTGTATCTTTAGGTATCGCTGTATCTTGGATCCTATCGCTGTATTCTTGGATACCTCCAGCTATAACTTCTTCCACACTTTGTTCGTACATTTATCAGTTAATTCTTGCCAAGCGAAGTTGATATTTTCTATGGCATCCATGATAATATATTTTTTCCAAAATTGCACCAAACAAACATAGATTTAAAGAAAGTACACCTTTTTCCATCTTTTGCTGATTGGTTTGCGTTCACAAATAATCGTATTATATACAAATCAATGAAATGCTGCAATCATTTAAATCAAAATTTTGAGCCTGTTTTTTAGGCTTTGAGCAGACCGCGTTATATCAAATCAGCATTAAGCGGGGTCTTACTATATAAGTAATATATAACATCTTTCTTACATTATCGACTTTATATTTAACTTGCTTGACAATAATTTATACACATTTTTCATTCCAACAAACTTTTAGTTTAACAAACATTTTTTGGGGGTCCTTTTAAATTAATTATAATGAGATTCTATTGTACATTTGAATGCAATTTTTGTCATTTTTCTTAAAAACGTGATGAAAAAAAATGTATTTCTTATGTTAGCTCATTGAAAATACAATAAAAATATGAATTATTTAAATATAAATAATTTTAGTTATTGAAATGTAATATTTATTATTTCGTGAAATTTATTTATTTTTTTAAATGTATAAAACAAAAATAATATTTTGTTTTTAGATTCCAACAGATGGTCTTGTGCTTAGAGGATGGTATTGTACAATTACATTGGCTGTATATGGTATGCTAACAAAAGTTTGCAAAGAACGATCTTCACCACCACCACCTCCTCCACCACCTCAAACTAATCTTAGATCACAACCAATTGGTAACTTAGTTTTATAAATTATTAATTTTTTCGTAAAGAATATAATCAAAATTAACTTTGATGAAAGTAGTTGATTTCACTTCTGGTTGTTGATTGATATTTTGAATATGTTTCTTTGCTTATGGATTCACATTATAGAGATTATTTCTTGTATTACTGTCTTATTATCATGCTTTTGTTTTAGTACAAAATAGAAATTTTTTAGAGTTATGTTGGAGAAAACTACAGTAGTACAGTAGAGCATCGATTATTCAAAACAATTTGGGACTGGGGTTGTTCAGATAACTGATCATGTATGAAAAAATATATTGA